TGTATTATTATATATATATATATATATATATATATTTGCAATTTTTTTAATTTTTTCTTTTGTGAAAGTTTAATTTATGCATGGATGTTTAAAATGTATTTCTATATATGGGTAGTCACCCAAAGAGTTCAAAATTAAATAAAGGAGAAATCGCAACTTCTTTCTTAAATTCTGTTGCTGACAAATGAATTCTTGAGCCTAATGTAACCGCAAAAGGTAGCTTATGAAGAAATGATTATCGTATAAGAAAACCACTCATCATATTAATCGCCGGAGACTTCATGACCTCACCCTTGGATATCGGGCTTAATTGATATATAGTAAGAAAAATGTACTATTACATCATTTTCAAAATTCGTCTAATACTTCAAAGTCAATGTAAAACTAGTCAATTCAGAATATGATCTTTTCGTGTGATCGATGACATATATATAGTCGATCACTATATCGCGATTTAATATTATTAATATATATTAAAGTGGTATAATTTTGTGTATGCAGTTGGTGAATCATGGGATACCAGTGGAGTTATTAGAAAGGGTGAAGAAAGTTGGTGAAGAATGCTTTAAGTTGGAAAGAGAAGAAGTGTTCAACAAGTCAAGAGTAGTGAATTTGCTTAATGAATTTGTGGAAAGCAATAAAAATGGCAAAGTTGAAAATGTGGATTGGGAAGATGTATTCCTTCTAACTGATGATAATTGTAATCAATGGCCCTCCAAAACTCCTCAATTCAAGTAAATTTTCTACCTATATATATGCATTATCACAAGTCTCAATTTTGTTATTCAACGAAGCGTTTGAACATAAAAAATGTGAAATTTGAAAAGTGAACTCAAGATTTAAGTCGTGTTTTGGACATGAATATACTGATGATTTTTTTTATGTGTGTTTTTGACACATTTTGTAGAGTTTTCCGAAATCAAGAATCTTCCAAAATTATCCATGATATCTTCAAATATAACTTCTTTTTTTATTCTCTATAACAGGGATACGTAAGTTGATTACATGTAAAAAAGTCAAAGTGTGACAAAATTAATTTTACTATCTGAATTACTCCATTTCATTTATATTGATCAACTTAAAATATATTCATATCTGATTTTTTATTTTATAAAATGATAGGGAAACAATGAAAGAGTATAGATCAGAGGTGAAAAAGCTAGCAGAAAGAGTGATGGAAGTAATGGATGAAAATTTAGGTTTATCAAAAGGTTACATCAAGAAAGCCTTCAATAACAACAATAATAATGATGCATTTTTTGGTACAAAAGTGAGTCATTACCCACCATGTCCACATCCAGAAAAGGTGAATGGTCTAAGAGCTCACACTGATGCTGGTGGTGTCATTTTGCTCTTTCAAGATGATCAAGTTGATGGTCTTCAAATCCTCAAAAATGGACAATGGATCGATGTACCTCCTATCCCTAACGCCATCGTGATCAACACAGGTGTGTGACCATCTTTCATATGTCTGATTTTGACTTGACATGAATTACACGTGCATTATATCATGTCATTTATTAGATAATGACGAATAGTTCTTTTGATCAAATTTACTTGCTTGTTGTATTCGAGTTTATTCAAATTCATTAATTTTGGCTCAAAACTCTATAGGTGATCAAATCGAAGTGCTTAGCAATGGGAAATACAAGAGCGTTTGGCACCGTGTCTTGTCAAAACCAGATGGTAATAGGAGATCAATTGCTTCATTCTATAATCCTTCATTGAAAGCCACCATTTCTCCAGCACCAGAGCTGCTAATTTTGGAAGAAAAAAAAGTGGATCAATTAATTGCTACTTATCCAACTTTTGTGTTTGGGAATTACATGAATGTTTATAATGAGCAAAAGTTCCTTCCTAAAGAACCAAGGTTCCAAGCTGTGGCTGCAATCTAGACTAGTTTTTTTTAAATATGATTATGCATGCCTACCAACTTCTTTTCATTCAGTTTTTAGATTAAATAAAGGTCGTATGTATAATTAGTTTTTGTATCTCCTCTTCATTTTAAAATAAATCTGTCCATTCTTGTCTTTGTAAATTTGTTTCCGATTCGATTCTAGGCATGAAATCGCCTTTTTTAAGGAGCGCTAGATATTGGCATCAATACCAAAGAAGCAGAAATATCTCAGACAAATGTGCAAAGATTGAAACTTCATAATTAACCATGTAAAAATAGCACTGTACAAATTTCTTATTTTGAAAAATAAGGTATAACCTAACTGCATATATAACAGCCAGACACAGAGTATAATATAATCGTATAGTGTATTAAAATTATTATTCTCTTGCATGTATGACTGTACACTAATTTACATGAATGAGAGGAGGATTAATCTTGATAGTTTCAGAGTGCTTTCTGCTCTAGTCTATCGTTCCAATTTAGACAACGAACCAAGCTATGAAACCAATCACCTGTCTGATCAGACTTGTTAACTGTAGGTAGTGGATGCTCACTCATATATATGCGAACAGAATCTCCTCTAGAGAGTTGTTGCCTTCTCTTCCCATCGAAAGAGACCCAAGCATTGCTACGTGCATCCTCTGGTATCTGTTCATATGTAAAAAAAACATAGATTCATAGAGAGTGATAAAATGAGAGAAGTAATGAATCTCTGGAATAGACAATTATAGGCTATGATCTTTCCACAATGAGAACAATGTCATGAATTCATGATGTAGATATCAAGTGATGATATGTGCAGTTTGGACATGTATTATTAAAGAACTAATCCATTTAGTTGTGATCTAAAATGGTAACCATGGTATCCTCGGCCACAGGAGCACCCTTCACATAGTAATGGCTCCTTGACAAAGAGTATATGCTTCACATCGGAGTTTAGAGGAAGACTTTGGTTCACGTATCTGGCCAGTAACTGAACGCTGGTATCTCTGCATAGGATCTCTGTCTCGGCCTCGTCTGCACCACTACATGGAACTATAATTACCAGCAGCCCCTTTCTCAACATAATTTGTATTTGGTAGTTATATTCATCCAACCAAAATCATACTTCTCAGATTATCATATTAGAGCTTCTCTCACCTCTATCTTTGACAGCATCCTCAACTTCATAATACTAAGCTATCTTTCCCAGTTCAGCAGTATTATCTGACATCTATGCAACTTCTAGTTCAAGATCCTCCAGTAGCGCAAAATTTGCTGGGTTAACTAGGCCCAGTTGGGCTGCCTCACGAGAATAACTAGTGGTCCTTTGATATTGTCACTACTAGTACCTAACTCTATAGGCTTGATATTTTTGCAAACACCAATCCTTGCATAATAGGGCAATCCAAAAAGGAGAACGACAACAGCTAACTACTGTTAAAAGTCAAACTAAGAGTACAGATCATATGACTGAAAACTGCCACTACATTCTCTCCCATGCTTGCAGGTCTGACTGGTACTTTCTTTCCACCAGCTAATGTTAAGTCTGATATACCCATGTCTCCTACAAAAGCAGCTCTAATGCCTTTGCACTGAACTTGGAAACTATATGGGCATTGATAGCATCTTCAATAATGAAAATGCTACCATGTGTGAAGGTTTGCATCATTAAACACAGCTGTTCGCTCCACCCAGCATCTATCTAAAAATTACAATTAAAATTTGATTTTCATCCTTACGGTCCAACAATAAGCATTCGGCTACCAAATAATAGTTCAATTCACATGATATATGGAACTAAATTATTTCATCCCACGCACTAAGCTTTACGAGTCAGACTGTCAGACTATAGAAGATTTTCCAATAGTTCTCGTTCACTAGGGCTCAAGAAATACAAGCTTAAACTGAGCCCATTCTGATTAATGTGCAATGTATGATGCTACTAAACCCTAAATGTGATGCCAAGGAGATTCTCAAAGTGAGAAACCTTGAACATCATTCACTAGAAAGTTGTCAGCTATGATATTATTTCTAAAGATTCTTGTTCTCAGCCTTTTCCCACCTCAAAAACAGTACTCTTCCCTAACCAATAATAGAATCGATCGAACCACAACCATTTTGAACCAGTTTAGGTATATTTCTGCTCAAATTTAGAACACCTTTAGACCTTCCCCACAACAACAAGCCAACAACCATATTATGTAAAGAGCATATTTGCTAGTTAACTGCATTCTTTTATTCAAGCGGTGTCCAAGCTAGCTTGCGCGCACTTCGACTAATTCCACGGGGCACCGCCACGTCCCACCAGCATAGTTACCGGTAAAACTATCCACCAAGGCTTGGATAGATGAGAAGAAATCACTTAGTGTTTTTGGCTCCTCCGAGAACTGAGCCTGAGACCTCATTGGTCTCAACCTGCTTCATTGACCACTAGGACACACCTTTGGGTGCACTAGTTAACCAAACCTTACGAAGATACAACAATTTTAGCTGATGTAGAGCTTAGATTTAAGAGTTTTTCATTCACGGGTGCAACACCTAAGGAAGACCTGAACATACTCTATTCTATATGGCTCTCAAGAACATTTTAACCAAACTCTTTGTTCTATACTTTGCAACATCAGTCTCCAGATCTAGCCTATTGACTTTGAGGAAAAGAGGATCCATATACAAAATATCATGATGTTTTTATCTAATTACAACATACAATGCCCTAGAATGAAATTCAGCAACCTAAGTCTCACCTGATGCAAGACATTTGAACTAAAAATAAATTTAACATGATGTACTTCTTTCATCCCAAGAGATATACCAATCTGAAAAATTTCTTTAATATTAGGCGGCGCTGGATAAGTGTATTTAGATCTTTTTATCAGGGAAAATTACGTTTAGATGTCTCTAAGTTATTAATATATCAAAGTGAAGGCCAAGACAGTTAAGATGATACACAGGAGCTACATATTTTTCTACCCTTTTATATGTGTTAGTGATTACATATTTGATATTTCCAGACATTGTACCATCGACCATTGTATACAAATATATGAAGCTGAGGGATAAGATAAGCAGCACTAAAGAATGAATAAAGCTCTTAACCTCTTCCATTTTAGATGGGAAATCTGTTAACTGTATGCAGTTTTTGTTTAGAAAAAGAGAGGCATTAGCATAAACTAGTCATACTTTTTTTCTTTGGAAAGTAAACTAGTAATGACATTCTTTTCCAGTAATCATAAAATACATATTAAGACAGTCACCTTTAATTCTAGTTTTGCAGAATCTGGAAGTATGACAGGTCTAAACGAGAGAGAATGTGGACAAATTGGTGTAAAGAGCATGCATGGAACATTAGGATGCACCTGCATGACATAAATTTCCCTGTCAAATAATGTTCACGCATTCACTAGGTGAAGGTAAAATAATTAACAATTGTTGGCAGGATGAACAACGGTTTCAAAGAGTCAGATCTCATCACCAATAATATCAACAGCAAGTCAGTGTAATTTCCAAAAAATTCCCTTCACGAGTAGATCCTTAAGAACATCGTGTGTCGGAATCAAATTTAAGGTGCAAAATCCATATTTTCACAAAATTGCAACTTCAAGTTTTTGTTATTAGAAAAAGAACAGCTAAATACAATGTTAAAACAAAATGAAAACATGTTTGGATATGTAATGTAATGGTAACTCAAGTGGACTGACAAAGCTCAGTTAATACACAATATGATTTTTCCAAAATTGCTGCTTTTGATGCCTAATAGAAATTCCTCTTTGGAATCATTTACCATAAAAGGGAGATACCTATTCATTTATTTACTTCAATGTATGACAAATGTTATCAACCCAACTTTAACAATTCTTAAAAGTCATACTTGCAAAGTGAATGTATTTTACAACGAAGTGCACAGTGTCCTTTCTATTTTTCATGTTTTCAATCTTCGTCTTTTCCTTGCTTTTATTAGGGGGTAAGGGAGCTTAGTGGGTGTGTTCTTCCCTCCCTAACACTTTATGGTAATTGCTTCCACATCGAACTGCTCGATCTATAAAAATCAACCTTCTGATATGAGTTTAAGGGCTTTCACTATTTTTTGATCGTTAGGACTTAAACTTTTAACTTGGTCTATAGATTCCAATGCAGTAATCACTTGTCACATTTCACAATATATATTTGTAAGTGATGTGTCTCAGACGTACCATGGAACCCCCAGCAGCTGTTGAGTAAGCTGTACTTCCAGTTGGAGTGGCCACAATGACACCATCACCTTGCACCTGCCAAATAAAATACAGTACGACAAGATTATTCTTTCATCTCTTGCTCATTAATTCAGAAGTGCACTTGCTGGATCCACTTCTTTTAAATTCTAGAAGAAACGTGATCCAAAATATTAAAACAGATCGCTCTCTAAATCCTTTGCCAGTGCAAATTGATGTTTAAGAATATAAACCGCACCTTGGTTATGAGGTGGTCATGTTCATAACACTCTATTTTTGACAGGTATGGATTAGAACCACGATCAACTACAACTTCATTTAGGACATCAAACACCTTTCCAGGCATTGCTTTCCCACTTCGGAATATCTCACATCGGAGACGCATCCTTAGAGTTATATACACACCATCTAGCGTGTTGTTTCCATGGATGACTTTTCTAAGATCCTTCTTGTAATCTTCAAACTGTATGAATTGATGACAAGAAGCAAAACATTAGTATTTATAGATAATAAATAAAAGCTTAAATTTAAGTTGAGAGGCATACTGGATGGGAAGTGAGAAATCCAAGGGATCCTAGGTTAAATGAGATGACGGGTGGAACAGCACCTCGAAATATATTTGATGCATGGAGTATCACACCATCTCCTCCCAAACACGCAACAAAGTCAACCCTCTCATGAAGATCGCTGCATTTGGTAAATCAGGCAAGGTCACACCTCTCTGTGAAGTAATGAGCACACAGAGGGAAAAATAAACGAAAAGAACAATGCTTTTGCACGTACAGTTATGAATCATCCCACCTGGTATCTTGACTATAGAAGGTCTGAACAAACCCAAAGCCTGGGATTCTTGCAAATATATCATGCACCTCAGGTTCAACAAGAACAGTCATCTTCTCTTGGGAATACAAAAAAGAAGCAGCCTTCAGGGAGAAAAGGAATGGAAAAGGAGAGAGTGTTAGAATTTCTGTTCATTAGGAGAGTGTTAAAACCTATGAGTATATGTGAATGAATGTCAGAGAGAAATTGCAAATGGAAATGTAAGCAAAATATATATTTGAAAGAGAACTTATAAACACATTGTTTCCAGCTTATAAGAAAGCTGACATGATATAATATAAAAAATTTACAGAGTTATAAGACTTCAATTAAGTGCAGAACATAAAATTCATCAGAAGAGGGGAAGGAAATTCAGAGATAAAGACGAACCACCAAATTAAGAAGAGAAAACTAAATGATCACATTTTCCTTTCCTCCTGTTCGTTGATGGATGGAGTTTTTAATGAGATAAATAGAGTGACAATTAAATATACTTGCAATTACTCAAAATCACTAACATGTTTGGGCAGCCTTTGCAACATACTAACAACATCATAGAGACAGATACGGCTAGATTATTTTGGCAACACAGTTGAGCATACTTTGTATTTATACTAGCCACAATATAGTCCGCGTGCAGCCTCAGGTATGATGAGTATCTTAGGATGCTTGATTATGCTCCCTTCACGGTAATTTCCAAGGTGTTCTATAACTGCACAGATTACTATTTTAACTTACGAGCTCCCCTCCCAACCCACCGACCAAGAGTGAATCAAATGTCTTTACCCAAATTTGCACATCCCACTGTTGGAGATTTGTTTTATAATCTCACATACCCCACGGTAACAAGAATAAAATGCCTTCACTCTCATGTCGGGAGCTCATTACTTTCTTCTTCTTTTTTTTGGTGGGAAAATTTATGACAAGTTCTGATCTTATGTCCTGAATGCAAACCCAAACCAAATGAATCCAATGAATATGCAATTTCTCCTGCTTCCTCATTAACTTTATGCGATCCTTCCTCTCAATTACTCACAATTTGAATTTTCGTGAAAGGATTTGAACATTTCCACATCAGTTCCCATAAATAGCACTGCAGCAAACATTGGAAACGAAGCAAATACAAATCAAAAGAATTGATAGCAATGCTAGTTCTTGCCTTTTCCATGGCGCTTAAGATCCTAAGTGTCCTAGTGAAACCAATTTGCTACATATGTTTATTGCAGATGCATACTAAGCTTTGGCATAAGCAACAGTAATGATGGTATTTTAAGAGCATTCATTTACATTCATCTAGTTTAATAGAAGATGGAAATTCTTTTTTGTCTTTTTAGGACATGGAAAATTTCATCCATAATTTAGCTTTAAACAAAAATGGGAACCATATTAGAAATACTTGAAAAATGTTTTCAACACTTAAGAGAAGTACTAGATTTTCCTCCCTTTTGTGCTTAATGATAGAGAAATCTTTTTCCTCCTTTCCTTTGCTAAGGTAGTAAAATGTTTACTAAGTTGGATACTTGCACTAAGATCTACACTATCTTCTTTATCAATAATATGCATCCATTCACTTAAAACGTTCCTCAGAACTTGAAAGAAATAAAGAATGAAGAAAGATACTCGGCAGCAGTAGTAAATGAAAATCACAAGGTAAAAATTCAACTAAATTAATGAGAACTGTGCAGAGAACCTCTTTAGCTTCTTCCATAAGTTCGTGTCCCAGTTTCTTCAACAGCAATACAGTCTTCGGTGGGGATTTCCACAAAAGCATCTGCTGCTGGGTGCTAGGATGAGTGAATGCCAAGGAAGATTCTGTTACCTTTTCTCTGGTGCACGAATACCCATCTGTACGAACCAAAAACATCTCTGCCTTCCTTCTTGACTGTACTCTTACGACGCCAGTGGCAGAAGCACACATATTTCCTTCAATCTGCTCCAAGTTATCTTCCAGTGAAGGTGTGATGACCTCAATATTTCTACTCTCTGCGGTAGTGACTCTAGAGTCAGCAATACATTCTAACTCATTTCTTGCATCAACGGTACTAGCATTTTTTATTGAGGTTTGCACTTTTCCATTGCTGCTTCCATTCAAAATTGGAGTTGCAGAGCCATTTTGACCAACATACATTTCTGTATTCGAAGCAAAAGTTGAAGGGTCAGTAATTAAGAGTTTATCAGAAGATGAACCATTTAAATCTTCTGATTCCACCGTTCTTGTCGCACTATACGTGCTTGGGGTTTCATTTGCTTTCGGTACTCTCTTGTTCTTATATCTTAAAGCAGAAAGTACCTCCAATCTTTTCCTTTCATGAGTAAAATATGCTGCTGGTGAAACCTTCCTACTTCTGAAAAATGTGGACATCTCTTTTCTGGAGAAGACATTAGAGGGAGGCATCTGAGTGTTGAGTGGGTTCACATTGATGTAGGATGCTAGCACCGTGCTTTCTGGATTGGAAGAAATAATTTCATCTCCTTCGTTCTTGCCTAGGTCCGTAGCTTCAGAAATGTGCTTGATATCTTCCACAGCAGAATTTATGTCATCTGAACTCGTAGGCAGCGGCCCATCACGATTATCAGAGGCAGAGTTGACTTCATCATTAAAGTTTTTACCATCTTCCGGCCTAGGTGACATAAATATTTCTTCATTTCCTCTAGCATCACGTGATGAGTTCTCAATCGAGTCCATGGCCTTATATGTACTGGCTACAACATGTGGTGTGTAGCGAGTAACGTATTGCCTCCATCTAGAGACCATAGCTGATGTCCTCTTAATTCCTTCTTTACTGTGGAGATATATGAGCTTTTTGTTTAAATCAGAGACCAGTGCTGCAAACTTTTCAACCTGCTCCACTGAAGGTGATATACCAACTTCAACAGGTAGATTAACTAATTCAATATCCCCTGACAATATGGCTTCATCTAGCACTTTCTCATAGAAGATATCTTTTACAACCTCAGCTCTGAGATCTACAATGGTTTTGAACCCTCTCTCCAACAGCCATCTGAGACCTTCATCAGTTACCTGGCCACCTATCCAGAAAGCAACCTCAGAAGTTGCAGACTGAGTCTCTTCTTTTGATGTTGACAAATAAACAGGACTAAAGTTAGCAAACAGTGAATGGCTGGGGTTCTTTTCCCCACGAGGAAATCCGGCATCATAACATACATTTTTCAGTCTTTGAAGTGTTTGCCACACAACAATGCTACGAGGATCATCAGGTGTCAAATAGTTTTCAAGAGCAACATGCAAGCTCTCACAGTACCTCTTCATTTCACCTCTGAAAATAGCAAGTGGAGGAAGCATATCATCCATCATATGCACATCAACATCTTGAAATAAGTTCATTATCGATGATCTCCCAGAAAGTACTTCCTCCCTTCCTTTGTTTAGAAGACATACCATGCATCCTAGAACAGAAACTAATTTATCTTCTAGTATTGTTTTATCATCTGAAGGTACATCATATGAGACATTACATTCTCCAGTTAGTGGATTGCATAGGGTGTCCATTAATGAATTATGAAGTTGTTCAGCAGCCCGAAAGATTCTACAGTAAGCCTCTATCTCAGCAATATCCCCAGGTAGTGGACCAATCCGGGAAAACCGTGAAGTATCACTGGCCTATACAATTTGAAGTTTAGTGGGAAAAGAAATATCAGGAAATATCTAGTTTTCAAAGGAAAACGGTCAAGAAAAAACTGATAATTAGAATCTCTATTTTCTTTTTCATCATGGTGGTGTCCGCACAAGACTGATACTATAGACAATGATGAACTAGAAAATTGACAAGGAAAACTGTTCCGGATCGATTAAAGATCTATGTGAAGAGACAATGCAGAACTTTTTTTAGTGAGGATTCTCATCTAATTAATGAGCAGAAGTGATAAATTGGAAATCATAATGCAGTTGAAAGTTCAAGTAGACGCAACGGTTGCTAAGAAACAGTTATTAATTCAGCAAAAAGTGGAGGCATTTCAAATTGTTTGTTGACACGGATAAAGTCAGGAAAAAACTACGATATCATTTCAATCAATATGCCTTTGACATATAGGAGTTAATTGAGTAGCCATATTTCTTTCTTTCCAGCTAAGATTGGAGATCCTGTATTTTACACATCCATATAAATAAGTCCTTAGGTTTCTTAAACCGTTTAAAAAAGAACTCCAGTCATTCCTATTTCACTCAGACTTTGTTCTATAAAAATCCAAGCCATTTGACACCAACATTAAGAGTAGAAGATGCATCTGACAACGTCATGCATATTTCAGCTAGCTCAGGGGATATGCTTAGATAGTAGAATTCCTCTCTTGCAATTGAATCATCGCGATTTAAAAGGCTGAATCTTTAATAGTCCAATAGTAAATTAATGATAGTATCTAATACCTAAATAGAGTTGATACAAGAAACCATCACTACGGTTACTCAACTAACCATTATTATCTCAAATATTGAAACAAATTGAAGGGTAACTTTCAGATATAATAATTATTAGTCGAGTGACCATACGATTCCTTTATCACAAGCCGATTCGCCTGAAAAAAAAAGAAAATTTACCTGAGAATCCAATCCAATGTTGACGGAGAAAGCATTAGATAGCTCAGCACTGACAACAAACTTGAGACGACGATGCCCTAATCGATTCCCATTCCCCTTAATCTTTGCATAATTAAGCTGACAATACTGAAGATGAATTCCTGTACGACCCATTTTCAAGTGGCACGGACAATAACGAAAACATGTTGCCATACCAGTAACCACCATGAATAATCAGTATAATGAATCAACAACCATCAACTTGTATTTCAAGATTTTGGGTTCTACTTGTGCAAAAAAATCTCAATTTTTTTTTTGTAAAATGCAAATTCCGAAGCTAAATAAAAAATGGGTGTATGTATATGTGACAAAATAGGGGAAATTTTGTGTGGAAATGGAAAAAAATTGTGTGGATAATAATATTGGAGAAGGAATAATGGGACAAATTAGAGTTGTGGAAATCAGTGGTGGGTTTGAGATGGTTTAAATTTGTACATCATTGTTTCCGTCTCTGTTTTTCCCAAACTTGGATTTGATACTTTTTTGAGTATGTGATGTAAAATAAATCACAGACTTTCTTTCATAAAGGAGAATAATAAAAAGGAAAATCGAAATCAATTTAGTCGGTAAATCAATTGATTTATTAAGATTCTCTGTAAATTTGAGATTTTAGGTCAAATGACAAATAGATTTTGTATTCATATTTTTATTTTTATTTATTATTTTTAAAAATGATATATAAATATTGCTTGAATTTGTCATGAATTTTCGATTGAACATTTAAACATTAGGAATCACCTAATCCTTTACTAACCTATTGAGCAAAATTATCAAAGGAGGACCACTTACAAAAGTTTATGCACATGGAAAAAAAAAGAAGAGAGAGTCAAAGAATGAAAATGAAATGAGTCAAAAAATAAATAAATTGGAGAGTAATATGGAAAATATTAAACGTCAATTCAATGATTTTAGAGAAATTGGGAATGAGTGAAAAATAGGGGTAGTTGTTGTTTAATTTCTAGAGAAGAGTGAACGAGAGATCGTTGATGAATCGCGGAGAGAAAATCAAAATAGAAAAAGGATGAATCTTTTACTATATTATTCGTCTAATAAAAGTTAATTTTTCTTTTATTTATTTGCATTTTACTTGTCACGCATTCTTATTTGAATAAATATCATTTATGTGATTAATGTCACGTGTCCTTTAAGACCTAAATTGTCTGTGAAGTTCAAGTGTGTATTTGAAAATTTGAGAAAATTTACGTGAAATTTACGTAACATTTCTTAATTTTAGAGGAAATTTTATGAATGATAAATATAAAATTTTTATTAACGTTCTTTAGCTACAGTTTTGTTATATGTGCTTCATATATATATATATTGTGTTTGTTATCTGATTTGTATAAATTTGTGAAATAAGTTCCTTCGCATACAATTTTATTTTTAAAATATATAAACCGATCTAGTTTTTGTTACTTAAAAGGGCAAAAATCTCATAAATCACGCCGATTACATTTTAATGGAATTCCTTTCCTCCAATGAGTTCTCTAGCATGATGAACTCCATAGGTGCTTCAAATCGACAAATCTAGGGCAATATAAACGGTTGATATGAGAAATCAATATTAGGTAAAGTATTTAATGCTTGAAATCCTTTTGATTTATTTTTTTTTGTGTGAACGAAATTGATGAATATCGAGATTTTTGAAAATCAGATTTGATATTGAAGATTTGGGAAAATTGATTTTGATTGTATATTGTGATAGCTTCTTCTTCAATGATTGTTCAAATTGTATAATTTTACGTAAAAATAGCAAATTGTATAAACATCAATTTTAATTGAATATAAACAACCAATATCCTCTTAGAACTTCTGTTTGTTAAGAGGATTTTAAGACTTGAGAATGTGAATGAATGCTGGAGAATAATCGCTAATGAAGATGTAAACCGAAATATTTGAAAGAGAATTTTAAAAATAGTACTCTAATATATTTATGAAGAGTGAGTACAATTTAGTAAACATTTCAAAATCATCATTTATTTCTTAAACTCCGTGCACGGTCAAATGTTGCCACATAAAATGGGACATATTTTTCAGATAAGACTTCAACCTGAGTTCATCAAACTGAAGTGTAAGATTTTCAAAATGAAATGGACAGACAAATCTCAATAGGCTAGAGAATTACCCATATTGCCTCATCCCTTTGGACATAAATCAAATGACATCACTGTAATATCTGGAACTGAGTTTTCTCTTCTCTTTTTTTGTTGTTTGAAAAGTTCATGTTGTGGAGCTTATTGTATATCCTCAATGCAATCACGAACAAAAATGATTCAACGAATACACAAATATGCAACTTATCTTGTTTCATCACGAACTTAATGCAATCCTTCCTCTCCATGATTCCAAAGTAGCACTTATTTACACTACCACATGAGATAAGAGAAAAGTACGAGCAACACAAGTATATTTACTTACTATCTTCAATTGTTCACAGTTTGATTCATTTTAAAAAGGCTTTGAACATTTCCATTCATAAATCAGGATCATCGCTAACTTACAAAAGAAAAGGGGAAAAAAGAATTGATAGCAATTATCTAGTTTAGTAGGAAATGGAATGTTTTAGCCAAAATGGAAGGTTTCCAGCATCAGTAGTAGATGAAAACCACACGGTAAAAAATCAACTTAATTAATGAGAATTGTGTGAAGAACCTCTTTAGCTCCTTCGATGAGTTTGTTCCCCAGCGTCTTCAACATCACTAGTCTTTTATGTGGATTTCCATAAAAGCATCAGCTGCTGGGTGCTAGGATGAGTGAAGGCCAAGGAAAATTACGTTACCTTCTTGACTGCATTTATACAGCACCAGCAGAAGGTAGAGGAGACCTCAATATTCCTCTTTCTCTGTGACAGTGACTCAGCACTACGTTCTAACTCATCTCTTGCATCTTTACAACTGACGTTCTTTAGTGAGCTTTGCACTTTCTTGCTCATTCCATTAAAGAGTCGCAGAGCCATTAGGACCAGCATACATCTCAGTATTCGGTTAGACGAACCATTATCACTTTCTGAATCTGTCGCTCTATTCTCACTGTATTTTCATTTCCCACGGGAGGAATATGTTTATCTATCCTATAATTCCTCTCTCAGGATTTCCCATTCTACACCTCACTCAAAAGTCCCTCAAAGGGCCCAATCAACCACAACTAGAATTTTCATACATGATTTTGAATTAACAAACTATTCATAGGTTTTTGTGTTTCATTTAGCACTTCGGGCTTTGTCACCAATAGTCAAAACAAGTGCATGATCCCAGCTTGAAACGGTGAAAGCGATTACGATCTCTGATTACAATTTCTCTATTGTAAACTTTGGAAACAATCTTCATGGCTGAATGACAATCTTGGCATATCCTTAAATTCTTGAAAATGTAAAGAGGCATGCCAGCTTGTGTACTTATGAGTCCAAAACAAACAGCCAGCTTCTCGCTGTGAGAGAACAAAGCCTGTTCCTTCTCCTCCTGGCCGTAACCATAATAGTCTCCATCATTAGATCCTGAAAACTTTTGGCAGGTTGTGTCTGGTGCATAACCAGCCAATCTTATTTTTTGAATCATCTCATCCAACATCATATATATCTCTTGACTTTGCGGATGTAATTTATCCCCTGCACTGAAGCAATGGATTTGACCACCGACATAAATAGAACTAATGCCAGGAACCTTTTTGACACCTCTGCTTCTGAGAACTACTCGAATATAATTTGCCTCGTCATTTTTTCCAGCTAAAGAGTACATATTTGAAAGCAAAACATGATACTCGGTATTATCAGGATACATTTGGACCAGCTCTTTAATTAGGCACTCCCCCAGCTCGAGGTTCTTATGGACACTGCAGGAGCCTAATAGTGATCCCAACACAACTTCATTGGGGGGAATCGTCATTCCCCTTATTATGGATTCTGCTTCTTCAAGGTGTCCTGCCCGACCCAAAAGATCCACAACGCAAGAATAGTGCTCTATAGAAGGCTTTATTCCATATGTCGATTCAAGGCTATAGAAAAAATGTCGACCTTGATCAACTAAACCTGAGTGACTACAAGCACTTAATATAGCTGTAAATGTTACATCATCCGGTTTGACCTCTCTAATCATCTGACCAAACAAATCCAACACCAAATCTCCCTTACCCTGCATTGCCAGTCCACTAAGCATAGCATTCCATGTAATCACATTCCTTCGACGCATCACAAGGAAAACTCGAAAAGCATCATCAATCCTGCCACATTTAGCATACATATTAATCAAGGTTGTTGCCACAACTATATCTATTTCATGTTCTATCATCTTCAAAGCATACACGTGTACCCATTTACCGACCAAAACATTCCCCGACTGTGCACAAGCTGATAACAATGAACTCAATGTTACAAAATTCAACTCAAATCCAGATTCAAACAACATTTCACGTAAAAGCCCAAAAGCTTCCTTCGTTAAACCATTCTCAATATACGCTGCAATCATTACTGTCCAAGCAACTTCATTCCTCTCAGGCATCTTATCAAACAAAAACCTCGCATTTTCAAAACCTTCCGACTTCACCACTCCCTTCAAAACCACAGTCCAAGAAACAACACTCTTTTCTCCCATCTCACGAAAAATCCTTTTTGTTTTATCAATTAACCCACACTTGACATACATATCCATTACAGCATTACAAGCTTTAATACTCGAATTAAAACCCATTTTTACCATACAACCATGTCCCTGAATGCCAAACTGTTCACACCCCGTTTTCGTGCTTGCAAGGAATACAACCACCATAGTATACTCATCAATCAAAACATCACTCTTCCTCATATGAACAAACAATTTGAGGGCATCAAGAGGGAAACCCCCGCGAGCATAGCACCCCATCAATGTTGTCCAGTCGACAGTGTCTTTGTACGAAAGAGGAATTTCATCAAACACCTTACGTGCATAAAGAACATACCCACACGCTGCATACATATGCAGAATAGCATTACGGAGAAATGTATTTCGGAAATTTACAAGACCTGTGGTGACGATGGAAGCATGGAGCTTCTTACCAACATCCAAAGCTGAACATCTAGCGCAAGTTCTGAAAAGGGTCCGATAATGGCGAGCCAGGAGTGAAAGAGTACACTCTGTTCGCCATATCATGAGAAAGCTACTCGTAATTCTTTCACAAATCAAAAATTGTGAAGAGTTTCGGCCTGTTTTCGGTGTAAATCGTCAAGCTCATGGTATTCTTGTGATTTTTTTTTATCTAACATGCATTTCAGAACGTTCATACGAACTTCATAATAGTTAGTTCTTATGATAACTCGACTTAAATATATTAATTTTAAAAATTTTATAAATAATTTTTTTTTATAATGTTAATTAAGAATATATGTTTATTAATTAATATATTTTTTAAAAATATTTAATATTTTATAATTATAATTGTGCATTCAAACATAACATGTGTAATAACCGTGAAACAAACAAACATGTGAATGTAATTACTAGACCGTATAATTG